TTAGTCAATGGCAGACACTGCTATTTTTTTTTAACACACCCCTTTCAACTAATTGCCCAATTGCACCGCCTTAAGAGCGTGCATATCATGAATGCTGGGTCTTGTTTGCTTTCTGAGAATCTACTGCACCTACTGGTAACTGGTAAATAAAAAATATACTAAAAACCTGGATTATTCTGGTTAGTCACATTGTACTGCTATTATTTTGAACAATACTGTATATGTAAGCATGTATGTATCTATGTAAGCATGTATATATGTGTTTGTATGAATGTGAATTATTTGAGGTGCCCCATCAATAATTTCAACTTCATCAACTGCACAACCTATAGACATAACATGACACACAATGTATTCCTATGCAGTGAAGGGACCAGTTCTTGCTACCATGCTAACTCTGAGAGATGAGACAGTCCAAGTAACTTCAAAACAGTGCTGATTTATTCAAAGGATCACAGGTAAAATTAACATTACACGCTCAGATATCTTGCACCTCCAACATGCTCGCAGGCAGATGTAAGATGAAAGACCCTGAACCCACCAGGCCTATACATTATATCCCCTCGGTTGGGCTAGCCCCATACTACACAGAAACGTCAACCGTCTCTCTCACCAGCTTTGCAGCTGGCCATAACAGTAGTCAAAACATGAGGCAAATCAACGTGTGAATGTGTATGTCTGTTGGTTAAGTGGTGTGTAGCTAAAAACATTCTCACGACCTCTAATACATGTCGTGACTCAAACATAGGAACATTATGGCTAAGTCTACAGTTTTACACATCATAATAATAATAATATTAAACACCCTGTCTGCTGACAGGCATCAACTCTTCTCTCTAGTTGTCCTTGACCAGATGTACCCTGCAGAAACTCATATGCAGGCCTAAGCATTTAACAGTCTAACTAGACATCCTCTCTCCACTAACATTTCTAATACATCAAGTATCTATCCAATCTATCTGACTAAAAATATCTAACAGCAGTGAAAGAGCAGCTTGTATTACAATGCAGGAATGAGAGACTAAAAGCCAGAAGACAGAGTCCTTATTGTGGCAGGATAATAGCTGTCCTTACACTGGGTTGTTCTGGTGGACAGAGACATGTAGTGCCTCCCAGAGGTCAAAGGCTGAAACAGAAAGTGAGCAAAAGGGATGTGTCAGATATGATTTTACATGTTAACTGTTTTATTTAAGGCTATTTAACCAATTGAAGAAGGGAGCCTATGATTTTAGAGGCTCTATTGACAGTGTGCTGAAATGCAATGTCTGTACAGGATGCAGGCATAGGTGTCAGGTTTCTCCTGGTTTTGCAGTACATAGTGAAGCACAAGGCTGACAGATATGTTGATGGTGTAGGTGAAATCATCAATCAGAGGGGTGGTGTGGACTCTCAGGTATGAAACAATGAAGTGCTCAAACAAGGTCATGACCACAGTTGTTAGTACAGTTGGTCTGTAGTTAGAAGGAAATCTTGATAGGTTTCGGTTCAGAAATCAGTGATGAATCTTTGAAGCACTGTGGGACTTTACTAGCAGAGTGACAAGCTGAATATTTTTGTAAACACTGGGACAAAGTGATCTGCACAGTTTCTGAGCACCACTGGACTGATCTTATCTGGGCCAGTTTTCACAAAGTATCTCTCTCTCACCTCATCTTATCACAGGAGAGACATTGATGGAATGCCCTGGGTAATGGAGGTCAGGGGATTCTTATAATTAGTCATTATTGGATAAGGATAAGGATAATCACTGTGTCAGTATTGTGTTTTTTCTGCTGATTGTTTTCTTGATATAGGCTATACTGTACAGTATGTTGATTGTCTATAAAATGTCCCAAAACAGTGAAAAATGTCCTTTTCATGTTCACAGAGCTTATGGTGACATCCTTTTCATTGATATGGTGGTGACAACATTTTCATTAAAGATGTCACCTCAGCTGAAACCCCTCAAAATAGACTGTCATAGTACACAAAGTATACAAAACAGTGGAATCCTTGGCAGTTTTGCTTTAAAATATATAATGAAAATTGTCAGACTGTCAAATTACTAACTGAGGAGTCATTTCAGTGTTACACTATAGAGAGAATGGTGAACAGAAATCAGTTTATCACTAAAATGTTGCAAGTCAGAATATCACCACTAGGGAGCAGTATTGCTCATCATGTATTCCTTGTACTCACAGCATATGATCATGTGCAATTTTGTGATACTGATGACTTAGACAGATTAAAGGGAAATAAAGATTTAATGCTGGGCCAAAAATATTACTTTCTTCAGTCTG